ACAGAAAATACGTGCAGAATTTCTTGGTATTGTCTTCCTTGTGATCTAGTGTCTTATTGGGAATACTATTTGAAGACATTGTTCTCTCTTTAACGGTTAATGGGTATTAAGAGTGTAACCAACTTAATCTGTATTTCTCATTAATCAATAAATGAATGTACAAGGGTCTTTATATACAAGTGTAGTTAGTGATATTAACACGTATACTAAGTATCCTTATCTACATCTAATACACCCCCCTCAAGCCTTGAAACTGAACCAGGTTCTGGAGTGAAAAGGCTTGACACAGACATACGATTCAAGATCGAATGAAAGGGGCCAGGATGCAGAGCTTTTGTTAATATGTCAGCGTGTTGATTAGAGCTCGAGACATGATGCAAAGTGAGAAAGCCACGCTTAACTTGATCACGAACAGTGTGGCAGTCAATGTCGATATGTTTTGTCATCTCATGGAAGACAGGGTTAGTCGCAATATGCATTGCAGACTTATTATCGCAGAACAACTTAGCACGAGCAGTAACATCAACATGAAGATCCCTCAGTAACTGCTGAAGCCAAATAAGTTCACAGGTTGTCAATGCCATACTTCTATATTCAGCTTCAGTGCTGCTGCGACTAACTGTACACTGCTTCTTAGACTTCCAACTGATAAGAGAAGTATCAAGATAGACGCAGAAACCAGTCACTGAGCGCCTAGTATCAGAACAAGTTGCCCAATCTGCATCAGAAAATGCGTTTAAACAAATATCATTATCTGCAGCATAGAAGAGTCCTTGTCCAGGATTTGACTTCAAGTAACGCAGAACATGATGTGCAACACGCATATGAACATCCGTTGGTGCAGAGAGGAATTGACTGAGACGATGAACCGCAAAGGTAAGATCTGGTCTAGTGATGGTGAGATATAGCAGACGTCCAATAAGTTCTCTGTAAGAGGTAATATCTTCCAAAGGTTTACCCGTGTCAGCATTCATCGGTAATATAGGATCAAGAGGAACAGCACATGGCTTTGAAGCAAGAAAGCCAGTAGCAGAAAGAAGATCCAACGCATACTTTCGCTGAGAAACAGAGATACCAGAAGAGTTGCGTGCTATCTCTTTGATCCTAAAAAGAAACGAGCATGTCCCAAGTCTTTGATCTTAAATGCCTTATGAAGATCAACCTTAATAGACTTCACTGCCTCATCATCATTACTAGCGATTAATATGTCATCCACATAAACCAATATCGCAGTAAAAGAAGATCCCACTTTCTTGACAAACAAGGAATGATCACCAGAAGATTGAGCATAACCTGCCTTCAATAATACTGAAGAGAAGCAAGTATACCACTGGCGAGAGGCTTGTTTCAATCCCTAAATGGACTTATGAAGACGACACACAGGATTAGGAGGAAGAACTTCACCTGGAGCAGGAGTGTATCCTAAAGGAAGGCTCATATAGATCTCTTCATCGAGATCACTATGCAGAAAAGCATTAGTAACATCCATTTGAGACAAAGACCATCCATATCTTGCAGCAAGAGCTAATAACAGCTTGACACTAGTCATCTTCGCAACCGGTGAGAAAGTGTCAGTGTAGTTGACACCTTCTTGTTGGGTAAAACCTTGAGCCACTAGACGAGCTCGTGGTCTTTCAAAGGAACCATCAGCATTATACTTAAGAGCATATACCCAACGACATCCAACAACGTTCTTACCCAGAGGTAACGAAACAATACAGTACGTTTTATTAGTATTCATACCAGCAAACTCTACTCCCATAGCTTTCCTCCACATGTCAGATGTGATAGCCTGTCTAAAGTTACTAGGTACTGTCTCAGTAGAAACCAAAAGAACAATGGATTGGAATTCAGGGGAAAGTTTGGAGTAAGAAAGAACTGAAGAAAGAGGATATAAAGGAGAAGCATAAGAGCTAGCTTTTTTATGGTGAGTGTCTGGCAAGAGAACAATGGTAATCAGATAAGTAACTGGGAGCTCTACCCGTACGTCGAGGTCTGTCACTTAGAGGTGCCACTGAAGCTGTACCTGATATCACAGAGTCATTACAAGTAGTGGCACTAGGAACAGATGATGCATGACAAGAAGAAGATGATAGAGGAATCACAGTATCAAGAACAACAGGTGTGGAAACAAGAAGAATGACTTTAGCAAACAAATCATCAGGTGGAGAAGTTTTATTTTTAAAAGGAAACTCATTTTCATGGAAAACAACATTACGAGAAACAGAGATGATGTTAGTATCTAAGTCAAGAACTCTGTAACCTTTATAACCAGTTGCATAACCAAGAAAAACACATGAATCTGCTCGTTTAGAAAATTTATGTCTATCTTTTAGATGAGTAGAAACATAACAACGACATCCAAAGACTTTAAGACTTGAGTAATCAGGTTGTTTCTTCAGCAAGAGTTCATATGGAGATTTGTTATTCAATAAAGGAGATGGCAATCTATTAATAAGAAAGACTGCAGTTTGAACACAATCTACCCAATAAACCAATGGTAAATGACTTTGAAACAACAATGCTCTAGCAACATTCAAAATATGTTGATGTTTTCTCTCAACTACAGAATTTTGTTGAGGAGTGTAAGCACAAGAAAACTGATAAGTAATACCATGTTCACGAAGTAAAGGTCCAAAATGTAAGTCAGGAGCATTGTCACTGCGAATGGATTTGATATTAATCTGATATTGAGTTTGAACAAGCTTTATGAACGAAGGCATTATATTTGAAACATCACTTTTGTTATGTAACATATAGGTCCACGTAACACGAGTACAATCGTCTACAATAGTAAGAAAGTATCTAAAACCGTCAATAGACTCAACAGAAAAGGGACCATATGTCTATATGAAAGAGATCAAATGGAGAAGATGATAGATTGTTATGAGAAACAAAGGGTAACCTTTTTTGTTTAGCTAAAGGACAAACAGAACATGACTCAATAGAACTAGACTTAAGCAAAGGAATAGCACCAGATAGAAGTTTCAACTTGTCTTGGGAAGGATGTCCTAAACGCATATGCCACAAATCTTCATCAGTACGCAAAGAGCCACAGAATGCAAGAGGAGAAGCAACAGCAACGTTCAATATGTAAAGATTGTGAATAAGAGAACCTTCACCAATCTTCAAGACCTGAGTATGGTCCTGTATAGTACAAGAATCAGGATAAAAATGAGCAGAGCATTTATCACTATTCAACATAGAACTCACACTCAAAAGATTAAAGCAAAAAGAAGGAACATAGAGCACATCATGCAAAACAAGTTTATCAGATAGGTAAACAGTTCCAGTATGCGTGATGCTTTCCCTAGTGCCATTAGGTAATGAAACTGTCAAACCAGAAACAGGATAAGTATCACCAAAAAGTGACAAATCAGAACATACATGAGTTGTTGCTCCACTGTCAATTATCCAAGCACCATTAGGAATAGTATTTGCAAGTGGGGAAAAAGTATGATGATGAAAAGTAAAAGTATGGTTTTCAAAACGTAAGTTTGTGGAAGGAAAAGGGATAGTACTAGACGAGGATTGAGTAGGTATCACACCATGATCAGTAATGGAAGATTGCAAGGAAGCAAAGTTGACAGCTGAATCCGTAGGACGTACATGTTTCTGAAGCTGTTGAATGAGATGATTAACCTGATCGTGATTGAACCGAGAGAGGTCAAGTGTTGAAGCAGGCATATTGTTCTGAGTAGAAAGCTGCTGAGGAGTAGCCTGGCTACGAGATTGGTGTCCCCCTGACACAGTAGTAGTAGCACGAGAAGGATTGGTATGATACAACTTGTGTCCAGGTGGGTAACCATGAAGCTTGTAGCATTTCTGAACAATATGACCTGTCAAACCACAATGAGTACAAACAGGACGTTGCTTCTGATGATAAGTAACAGCTGCAGCAAAGGAAGCATTATCCAACTCAGAAGACTGAGAACTAACAGGAGCAGGAGTCGAAGTCTGAAACACCACATTATCAGGCTTCAAAGAAGGACGAATCGTCTTTTGTCTTTCATCTTGAGCTACCATGTTATAGACTTCTTCAATAGAAGGAATTGGTTTGAGCATCAAGATGTGTCTCCGTGTAGCATCAAACGATTCATTAAACCCCTTCAGAAATTTAGTAACTCGACTACGCTGTTGAAGTTTCTCCCAAGAAAGAGATGCATTACATTCACACTTCCCACACGTACACAAAGGAAGATCAACATAGTTTTGATATTCTTCCCACAAAGTGACCAAATCCGTGTAGTAGGTACTCACATCAGAAGATCCCTGTTGAATATTACTCAATTTTTGTTCAATCTCAAAGATCCTAGGACCATCATCTTGTTTGTACCTAGACATCAAATTCTTCCAAATCGATTCCGCAGAGTTCATAAAGAGTAAACTCTGACCTATCTTCTTCGATACAGAATTCATCAACCAAGTCGAAACCATATCATTACAACGAGCCCAAGATCCCGCATCACGATGATCAGAAGAAGGTTTAGGAATAGTACCATCGATGAATCCCTATTTGTTGCGAACATTAAGCGCCATATGAACAGAGCGTCGCCAAGCGTGAAATTCCGAACCAGACGAGAGACGATCAGAGACGAGAGTCAATCCAGCATGATCATTGTGATGAAGGTAGAACGGATTCTCGTATTGATCGAGCGGAGTCGCCGTCGTCGAAGACATCGGAGCTCAAAGAGAGATGGAAACAAGAATCCAAGTAAAAATCACCACAGAGATGAATTTCAAGAAATCGCGAATGAGAGAGAGCAAGAGCACAAGAGAATCAACGAGAATCTGACGAATCGGAGCACTCATGAGGATGAATCGAAGCTCGCGAGGTCAAGAAACAGTTAAAAATGGAGGAAGCAGTTACAGATAAGCTCTGATACCATATTAAGAGTGTAACAAACTTAATCTGTATTTCTCATTAATCAAAAAATGAATGTACAAGGGTCTTTATATACAAGTGTAGTTAGTGATATTAACACGTATACTAAGTATCCTTATCTACATCTAATAATGGGAGTGTGCATACGCTCAATGATCTTATTCACAGCATCACGAGACATCAGAAGCGTTTCGTGAAGCAAAATGCTGTAAACGTTAAGCCCCTGCGAAGTATTACATAAACAAGATTCAAGATTCGCTAGCCGGTTTATCAAGTAACCGCAGACAGGTATTATGTAACTCACTATTGATGGAAGAATGTTGACGTAGTGGAGATTTTGGGTGGCTAGCTTCAGCTTCTCCTCGATAGGACCGTCTTCTACCACGAGTACTTTCTTTGTGTTCTCCATTTGATTGTAATAGTTCACAATGTTCTTTGTTTTATGCGTTGGCAACGCCAAATCATCGAATACGAGGAGCTGCATAGTTCTCGCAAAACATTCAGCTCATCAGCGGATACGAGTAGACCAGTAACAACAAGGTTCTACTGGAAAAAAAGGAACATAAGAATAAAAACAGAGAAGAGACAGAAGCTTACTTTTCCTTCTGCGGCTCGAGCTGACAGTGCTATCTTCAAACCAAGCCTTCGAACTTGCTTATTCATCTTTATCGCATGGCTTCTTGGTCTGGGCCCATGCATCACACAACCACCTCGAAACTAGCGGTATCAATAAACTATATCAGAAACGAGCTGCAGATTGGTGAGAAGAAAGATCAAGTATCCAAAAGTGATGTTTACCTGGGGGCCACACAGTGTACCATGTCTGGCTCGACCTGTACCCTTCTGGTTCCATGGTTTTCTACCAGTTCCGCTAACCTCACTGTGGGAACCGATATCCACCTACTGTCAATAAATCGTAAATAAGGAAACTTCGGGAAAACCCTAAGTTTCCAGAGGAACCGACTATCAGCAGAACCGCACAACGAAGATTAAGGAAACGATGAACTTAGAATTTAAAAGAGAATAAACAAAATTGAGAGCAAAGAGGTTCTTATTCCGAATCTGCGTAAGAACTGTTACAACAAGAGTAGCCTTAGCTGCGTGAGCCGTCGCAAAATCCCTAGAAGTCTAAGAACGAAAACCCTAGTTGAGACGCAGCTCGCTAACAGAAAACGGAAATATTCCTAAATGCTAATTTTGGTGGTGAGAGCTCTGAAAATCGTGTCCCAGCTTCTGCCCTATGCCTCCTGCTTATATACTCCTTCTTAGGCAGTTTTAGTCTTTCCATTTCACCCGAAACCGAATATATCGGGAATTTTCCATTTTTGTCGATCTTTCCTTTTCTTCCACGGAAATCTTCTATTTATCTTCAAACTTACCTTTTGTCTTCTGTCTGCGAGTAAACCACCAAAACATTATCGTATCTTCGGGTTTGATTTCGTTAATATCGCGAGATGGGTTTTTATCGTGTTTTAGGACCTTTCGGGCTGTTTTACGATAAAAACCGTTTTACGACTTTATACGAGACCGTTTCCTGATCCGATGCCGTTTTTACGATTTTCTCGACGTTTTTTATTAAAAACGCGTTTTTTATGATCTTAACGAAAAATCTCGGATAAATCATATAGTTTAGGCGATGTTCGGTGTCTTGCTTAAACGTTACCATTTTATACGATTTCTTCGAGTTCTTTTCGAGAAAGCGGAATTTTACGGTTTTTATCGTAGAATTCGAACGATAAGTCGGATCGAGACGAAACGAGAGACATTTCGGCCACGGTTCAGAATGTGACCGTGTCGAAGGACGTAAGTTTCGAATCGGGGATGCGGGAGATCCGGGAAATCTCTAGTTGCCTGCTGGCGAACTAAGCCAAGCTTGCTTAGTTCGCCAGCAGGCGAACTAGTCGGGGAGTTCCTAGTTTGCCTGCTGGCGAACTAAGCCAGCTTGGCTTAGTTCGCCAGCAGGCGAACTAGTTGGAAGCTTCTAGTTCGCCAGCAGGCGAACTAGTTGGGAGCCTTCTAGTTCGCCTGCTGGCGAACTAAGCCAGCTTGGCTTAGTTCGCCAGCAGGCGAACTAGTTGGGGAGCCTCTAGTTCGCCTGTTGCCGAACTAGTCGTGACTAGTTCGCGTTTTGCGGCGGTTTCGGTTTTTCGCGGTTTTGTAAAACGATTTCTCGAGTTTTATAAAACGATTCTCCAGTTTTATAAAACGATTCTCGAGTTTTATAAAACGATTCTCGAGTTTTATAAAACGATTCTCGAGTTTTATAAAACGATTCTCGAGTTTTATAAAACGATCTTCGAGTTTTATAAAACGATCTTCGAGTTTTATAAAACGACTTCTCGAGTTTTATAAACGATCTTCGAGTTTTATAAAACGATCTTCAAGTTTTATAAAACGATCTTCGAGTTTTATAAAATGATTCTCGAGTTTTATAAAACGATCTTTGAGTTTTATAAAACGACTTCTCGAGTTTTATAAAACGATCTTTTTTATAAAACGATCTTCGAGTTTTATAAAACGATCTTCGAGTTTTATAAAACGATCTTCGAGTTTTATAAAACGACTTCTCGAGTTTTATAAAACGACTTCTCGAGTTTTATAAAATGATTCTCGAGTTTTATAAAACGACTTCTCACTTATTGTTTTGGTCGAATGAGTTCCCTGAACATCCACCAGAATGTGTCAGACTTATTGACTGTTTAATTATATGTTATAATTAAGACACTGTGAGTTAAATCAAATGAAGTTATACCTGCTGGCGTTTAGCAAGCTGCCATCTCACGATGTGGCGAATGATATCTTTCCTAATAGGAACATCAAAGACATCACCAGCTAAAACCATGAAACCCTTGTCTTCGTTCTGAAAATTTGTGACCGGAATGACCAAGTCTTGATGTTGTCCTGCGGTAAGTATTTAGTAACCAGTGAAACTTGTCGAGGAATCATAAAACGAAACCCCAGTAATAAGGAAAACATCATTGTTCAGCGATTTGATCAGGTCTCAAAGAGGTGAGAAGAACATTGGAAATCAAATCTGTGTTAACCTTCCATATAATAAGAAGCTAAGCATGCTCCTCCTGAATTCAGAGTAACCGCATATATCTAACTGTTAATAACTTCATTGATACCTATGGTTCGGTGGTCTGGTGTAATGACTGTCTTCTTGGAAAGTAAATCATGAGGAAATGTATCATCAGGAGTCAAAATAGAAGTGGAGAGCTTTCGGTTGGAAAGCACACTTATTCCCCACTGCATTTCATAGATAACAAAAAAAATTAAATCAACATCAAATATTCAGAAGAAATGGAACTCCTAAACACAAACCTTGAGATCACAAGGAAGAGAGCTTAAACCATTTCCAGATGCATTTGCTATTTTGAAAGAAAGAGACACAGAAGCAATTAGAGATCAAATCTTACTTAAAAAAAAAAAGAGATTAGAAACGGAGAGATAATACTGCTGCTGCGTCCTAAAGCTGTAAAGGATCCAAAAGTGCGGAAGATTCTTCTTGAGACTGAAGCAGCCATTTCCAATTGAAGAAACCCTAACTGCTCATCTAACAGTACCAAATCCAATTTCTCAATAGAATAGAAACACGAATCTCAGTAGATAATAAGAGTAGATCCAATCAAGATTCGACCAAACTTTCTCGAGAAGAAGAAAACTAACCGGTCACACGAGAGGCGATGCTTGACGGTGAAGAAGAACGGCGAGTCTCAAGGTTTTAGTAACGAAACGGGGAGGTTTAGATGTGTTTTGGCTCGGGTCGGATCTATTTAGTGGGCCATCAATTTGGATGAAAAATGTAAGAGCCCCTTAGACCATCCGCAGTGGAGGATCCTTAAGGGGAATCCTTAGGGAAAAATTAATTTTATAATCAATGGGTCCCATGAAAGTTAAGGATTTTATCCTTAAAATCCTTACGTAAGGATTGATCCTTACACTATTTGTGGGTTCCACTGCCCACGTGGCGGTCCGTGAGTGGTTAGTTTTTTTTTTTAAAGAAAAAATCTGAAATATCCTTATATAATCTGAAATACCTTTTTTCTTTTTTCCTAAGGATTCCCCCCCAAGGATCCGCCATTGCGGATGCTCTAAGGCCATAAATGTATTGTATATGTGTGTGTTGTCTTTTTTTATATATAATGTCTTACTAAGTGTTTTGCCCGCACATGCAGACTTAATTATATTTAAATTTATGTAAAAATCATCAAAATAAATGATATTGCATCCAAAAAATTTAACCTAAAACATTAATTTTTTTACATGATAAATTTATTCACAAATTAAAAAAAATATACTTCTTCCTTTTAAACTTTAAAAAAATCTAAAGTCTATTTCCTTTCTTCTTAATTAATAAAAATATAGAAATCTATCTTTCAATTTGAAAAATTGAATCGATAAATATATATTCACAAATTGATCTTACAAAAAAAAAATATTAGTTTAGATAATAATAGAATTAAAATTTATTTTTGCCAAACACGTTTTTTTTGTTTTTGAATGATTTTTTATTTTATTATGATAAATTCATGTTTAAGGATTACTTATATATAAAAATAAATTTAATTTAACGTGTGAGCCCAGAGGCAAAAATAACTTCACAAATATATATATATATATATATATATATATATATATATATATATATATATATATATATATATATATATATATATCATTATATTATATTAGTATATTCTTTTAATTTGAAAATAATTACGTATTATATTTTTTAATATTTTTTCTTTTCAATTATATACAATTAAAGTTTTTACTTAATTAATATTTATTTATGTGTTTTAGGTTTTTTAAATTTTTTTTTATTAAATATATTTTCCGGATAACAACACAATATATATAGGAATTATTTTTTTATTTTTAAATATATATTTAGATTATGGATAATTCTTATCATTATTATTAATTAAAATCATTTATCTAATTAAATAAATATTAAATTCGTTTTTATTATCGGCTGATTTATATATTTATTCATTAAGTGTAATTCTTGATTTTGTAAGATCTTTCTTGGCTCTCAATTTTTGTGAATAACTGCCATTTTTTCTCTAAAAAGATCATTGGATACGATCTATTTGTTATATCGCAATCCATCCAAAACACTCCCGCTACAAGAGATAACATATTTTCTTGTAATTATCCATGGCATTGAGATTCTTTTGATTTGAAACCAATAACACCATATCTTCTCTTGTCTAGATTCGCCAAATTAAGCCTCCATAAATGTATCATCCCCAGATCCCAAATTTGCCAATCAATATTGTACCATGGATATCGTATATACAAACCCTTTCATTAGTCGAGATTGTGTACCTTGTACATAGTGAAAACTCAACAGATTCACGGAGATGGCGAGTTCGTCGAGTATAACACGGATAAGCATCCACACTAACAAAACGGAACTAATAGACAGGGACCGAACACCACCGTCTGCCACAAGCTATATGGATCTCCGGTTCTCTTGAAACAAGAAACAACCACCGGTATGGATGCCCGGAGGAAGGATGATACTGTGCAACGAGTGCACCAATAAAAATCTGATATGACTAACCATATTCAATTGACGGTTAATCATCGGAGAACACCACTCACCAAAGGATGGACCAAACTGTTTCTCCAACTCAGATACTCTATTCTTCTTTCCAATAGCACCAAATATGGACTAGTACTGGGCGTTAATCCAATGTGGAGATTAGTAACAAAAACCACATCAGGACTAAGATACTACGCTTTTAGAACAAGAAAAAAAAATCCGACAGCCTAACTGCCAGAAACACAAAAAACGGTTAACATTTTGGTAGTAAACTTTTTTCTCTGATGTCGCACGAGAGAATTTTTTTCGAAGATGCTTAATTTATATGTGCGTGTTGTCCTATATATTTTTATTTGCTCTTTGTTTCGTTTCATTTAAATACTATAACATTTCAAATTCTTATGAACAAGTGAAACTATTAAATTTATTTTCAACTGAAAGTGTTATTAATTTTTTACTACTTTATCCTTGTTTTGTTACAGTTTGTCTCATCATTTCAAAGATTTTCATGTAAATGTAAATTTTGAATTTTCTAATTAACAATAATAGTAATTAAAATATCTCTAGATTGGTCATATAAATCATTGACTATTCTTATTTTATGCATTAATTTTGTAATTTGTTGTTATTTTGTACAACTTCTTTAAAATCTACTACAGCCGTACATATTTTTTTACATTTTGCAAGTAAATATATGTTTTACATAAATGATGATATATATTTTAACATTTACGAGTCTATATTATTTTTGAGAAACGGATTTGCTGATTTGTCAATTTTCTAAGATTATAGGTAATTTTTTATTTATCATTTTTAATAATTTATTATATAATTAAAATCAATTTATATTAAAATATTATATTTCTGAATATAAGATAATTTTTAGGTATTATGTTGTTATTTTGAAATTAAGTTTTCTATTAGAAAATTTAAGAATTAAAATAAAAATATAATTAAATACAAAAACATAACAATAAAAAGATTGTCAAACACTTCATCACGAGAAGATTCCGTCACATAAAAGAATACCAGAGAGAAAAAAAACACAAGGAACCAACGAAGAATTAGAAAAAAAATCTTAAAACCATCAAAGTTAAAATAAATAAAATAGAAAGAAAACAAAGAGTTAACGCTTTCAAGCTCGCAATCCGAGGAATGAAATGATTATCATCAATAGAGAGACTAACATTCCAAAGCTAGTATGCTTCCTGATCCACATCAATCAAATCTCCCAATTGATTTGCCAAACCGGAATCGAACAAAACTCGAAACACATAGACCACCAGTCGTAGATACGCCACCCAAGTCTGGAATCAACCCCCAACATATCTGAAGACTCAAGATACGTACTCCAAGGAGTTATTGTTTGAGACAGATATGTTATATTACCAGTGCCGGAACCAGAAACATTTAGTACTAGGATCGATAAAAAATTAGCGGGGACAATTTTCATTTTTAATAGGGTGGATAAATTTTTTCTTATCATTTTAATGGGATTAATACAATTTTACTTAAAAAAAATTACTACTTAAACAAAAATTACTATTTTACAATTTTTTTTAAGTTTTTTTTTTAATAGTGGGGTCAACTGCTTCCACTTCTTACATATTACCTCTCTGGTATATTACAATAACTAAAAGTAAAATAGATAAGTTTGTACATAATTAGTTAGGATTTAGGAAATCTCATTTAAATTTTAATATTTTTTATTCAGTTTATGGAAAGAGCTTTTGATTTGATCGGTACAAAGAGGTTCAGAGCAGTAGAGAGCAGATTCTATGATTGTTTCGAAACCCTGTCAACCGCAACTAACGGCAAATTCTGAATTTACGAGTGGTAGCAAGGAAACTAGTCAGTCCCTTGGTAAATAACTTACGAATGAAAAGTAGAAGATATTGAAAAAGATGAATGGTAAAGAAAGGCAGTATCACTGCAGCGACTTGCTCTTCACATTATGGCCCCTTTCTACTATATGTATCTTTGTTACAACTAAACTACTATACTTCTTCTTATCTGAACCATTAATACAACAGCTTCGGTTGGTTCAGATACGTAGAAGTGAAAGATGTTTATTGAAAAATCAAAGTTTATTGGGTAATCAGGTTAATCCAACGCATCAAATGAGAAAATCCATGGTAAAAAGGAGCAGAGTATGGTTAAAGACTATAACCTGTAATAATAAAACATACCTCTAGTGTGTGAAATTAGCGTGATAAACTACTAGACTACCCCGACGACATAACAATCAAAGTTATATTTCCAAATTCTAATTCTAATTTCTATAAAATGTTTTAAAACAAGAAAATATTATATTGTAAGGCAGTTTTAAGTTTTTAATATCACTATAAGGCAATTATGACTACTGAGGTAGTTTTTGTTAACTATAGTTTAAATCACTCTAAACTCCATGACTAACTACAAAGAGTGTACTAACGAGGACTTACTCCCACCACTCATCTTTCTCCCATCTTTCCTCCTTTTTTCCTTTTTCTTTTTTCCTCTTTCATTCTCTATTTTCTTAGAAAATTCACATCTGATTCTTAAATTTATTTTCTTGATTTTTTTTTATGAAATCGTTTTCTCCATTACTCGATCTATCTTTTGAGATCTGTGAAGGTGCATTTCCGATGTTAGTGTACACCTTATTTAATGTACACATGTTATTTTGTGTACGCTTTTTTGACATATACACATGTACATTCAAAATGAACCAATATATGTGAATAAGTTGTGTACATAAGATAGATTGGTGGTTGCTTACTAAAGAAATACCAAACTACATAACAATATGCATACATATGGTTTTGTGTGTTATTCATATCTAATGATTTTAGCTTTGTTCTTACTGATGATATTCAATAATCTGTGTACATGTTTTATTGGTGTACAATTGAGGCTATAACTAAAATGGTATCTATGTTATAGATTTACGTATGTACATTCAAATCAATCATTTAAATCTCCTTTATTATA